CTCGTGAACAAGTAGATTGATAATACATTGTATTTCTACATGCTGTATAATGCATTTTGGTAATAATATGGTAAAAATTGTTGGTCTTTCAAGTACTAGTAAATGCATAGTGTATAGGTATAAAGTACAGGTATTGGAAGCATACATTAGTGTCATAAGATGTAATAATTTTTGTATAATGTTTTAATAACTCAATTATGTTTTAGTAGTTATTCAAGAATGTATTAGCATTCATTCAAGAATGCGCTATGTATTTGTATTATGTAATTGCATCACATTTTCGGATTTATATTTTATTTTGGTATTATGTATTAGTAAGTATGCATGTATTATACACGATGGGTAATAGCTTTGGCTTCCTAAAAAACATAGTGCAATTTATGAGTTGGTAACCAATTCTGTTTGGATTATGTAATACTCTGGGACGGAAGCCAACTCAGCGGATTTCAGGATTTAAGTCCTTGAAAATAGGATAAATCTTGTCCTTTTTATCAGCATACATTTTATTTAAATGCTCTCGTGTTCCAGAAAGCTTCATGGATTCATTTGAGAACACATTTTGGCAAATTAAACATATAGGTAATAACTGGTTTGTAGGAGAGGGCGTAAATCTATATTTCAAATACTCAGCACTATATTGCCGGCATATCTTTTTAGATTCAAACATTTTAAAATACAAAATTTGCTGCGGTTTAAATTAAACTTTTCAGCATATTTATAACAAGTTATAAAAATAGTGGCTATAATGCTTTTATCACTTTTACTCACGAATATGGATTATTGACGAAGCAGACAAAAATAATAAAACATTTCTAGCCTATCCGTCTTTTACAGATTAGAATTTTGTGCACGCATCAACTCGTATGCCTTTGTTTGGTTGCGATGCCGGTGCACTTGCTCAGAATTAAGTTATTATAAACTGTCGTGTTTTGGGTTGAAACATACTTGATTGCGCGAGTCGCGTTTTTGCGTACCAACTTACAAAGATTTGAGCTGACCACCCTGCGCTGGTAGAAATACTCCATAGCGTTGGTTGCGTTTTGTTAGGTTGCGTATTATTTGCATATAGAATTACAACACATTTATTATAAATCTATGCGAAGCTTTATTAACAATAATAATGACAAATGACAATTAATATGAAATGAATCATTAAGACAAGTGTTGTCGCTATAATGTGAGGATCTTTCTAGAGGGAAAAGTCTCTCTAGTCGGGAGTTGAGGAGCCTTCTGATATGTTGCTCTGTCTGAAATTAGTTTACAGACTGATTTAGTAATGTTGTCTTAATTTTCCGGTTGTATTTTATGTCGTATGATTCGTTACAGTTGAATCCGATATATGAGAAGCTAACATGTCATTGGTTCTTCGTTCCCTTGGTATTCGAGAAGCCTTGATGACAGGCAAAGTGCAGATCGCTAAATTTTCTTGACAATGATCGTGAAGTTATGACTCTCATAATGTTGGTGGGGTCGTTATTGAAAAAGGTTATTGCACATGCAATGTCAGAACATGTAGTAACCTTGTAAAACAGCTCGAAGACTGCGACTTGTGGGGGACCGAGCATTTGAATGTTTTGTCTGTTGTGGTCCACCACAGACTTGTCACCTACAATACTAAACCGAATTAAGTATACTTATACTTAATGGTAATCCAAATCCTTTATACTTATTTATGCGATAACAATAGATAAAAATTTTAGAAGCCAAATAAAATGTAGATTAGTGAAAACAGTAGGCATTTTCAAATTATTTTATTGTATTATTGCCGCCTCTCTTGACAGTCTTAACGCCCCCTCTTTGCCTCTGGACCCGTTACCAGCCACAGATCTAGCACTCATTGGGGGTCGGTATTACCTATGGTTATGAATCTATGGGCTACTATAATAAAAATGTTTGAAATATATTTCATTTACTTAGAAGCATTTGAATTAACATAGAATAGATGAAATTTAGCTGATACAGTAAATTATGTCGGTCTTTTTCAAATGGGTAATAGAATTATATTCAATTAAATATTAAAAAAAACTTCAATTTTTACCTCACATATCGGGTAGGAATTAAATAAAAGTGTCCCTGACAATTATGTCTCTAACCATCAATCTAATATGCTAATACATTCAATAATTCTTGAAGATAATCTTCTTACAGTAACTATACGTTTAAAGTTAACGAATGCGACGTGTCTATCATACTTTAAAAGGGAAACGGCATACTATATAACAATAGAAGGGAGCAAAACGTCCATCAAATCCGAAAGCTTGATAACGCAAATGAGCAATTTATGCCAGCGACCTATTAAAAGCACTTTATGTATTCCAAAGTATGTGCAGTATTCATTAAACTAGGTCAAGGTTTTGACACATAGATTATTATGAGCAATATAGATGATATCGGGAATCAAAATAATTTTCGAATGCATTAGAGATTTCTTGAATTTCAACTCAAGGACGAGGCCACGAGACACTGCAAAGTTATAATCATGCTATCAAAATAAATTATATGATGCAAATAACATTGAAAAGTTAGTAAGAAGCTAAGCACTACTATTACTGCTGCCAGTGTCCGTCTTTATGTTTTAAAACATTTTTGCAATCAAAATTGCTTAAAGGAGAGACGAAGCATCTTTTATAAAAGAACATAATTATACTTGCGTATTGCTCTGAAATCTGTATCTAACTAAAATTCAAAAATTCATCTAACTACTTTTAAAATTAAAGTTCTAAAAATCTTTAATGCTGTAAACCAGGCATATCCAACTCGCGGCCCGCATTCGAAATTTGACTCATTATTGAGCAGCTCTTGGCTCGCCCCTATAAAATCAGAAAGTAATAGAATCACAATATATTCGTAAAAATTACAATTTCACCGAAAATCGAAGCGTATATACAATCTCAGGCGCTATAAAAGACTCTTGAGATTTTCTCTTTAAAAAAAGCATTTAGCCCATTTGAAGATCGAATTAACAGAAGTTCATCGCAACTCAAGTCTGAAGCAAAACTTGAGTGAAGTGAGTGCTCTCGAATTTAACATATTTAATTCTCAACCTGCGCGGTCCTCAGAAAGGCTCAAATTTCCGTTATACGTGATTTCCATGTTCGGCAGGACGTATCAGTGTGAGCAGTTTTTCTAACTGATAAAAAGGAACATGTCTCCAACGAGATCCAGATTAGCAGACATTCATCTGGCCTCTGTTCTAAAAAATGATCGTTCGAGCAATGTATCTTCAGATATCTGAAAGCTGGTTGCAGGAAAAAGGTATCAAGTATCGGAAAGAAGGAAGAGGTATTCATCTTTCATGCCCCTTTATATGTTTTAAAGAACTAAAATATTAAGCAACATTTTATTCATTTACACATTTTTAAATACATCTTAAGAATGAACATGGCTTTCACACCCTTGCGGCCTGCACTATTGTATAGTACATGACGTTTTGGCTCATTTGACATGCCTGCGGTAAATATTGACGGCTTTTGACAGGTAGATATAACAAAAAAATTATGATGATTTACTTACAAATGCCTGGTTTTTGGTGCTCATGCCAGTAGCCGTCTTACTTCCCAGTACTTAGTGTTGGTTGGCAGATAGATTTGTGGAGCATAATCTAGAAGATTTTGTTACACACATTTGGTTAAGCGAAACATTTGGTATCTTGTTAAACAAAAGGGCACATTATAAAATCTTCTTAAATAGTACACCGATGACAATTAGTTCATTTTTTGAAAATTATGAATCATAACAAAATTATAAAATCAACAAAGTTTAGATACTGATAAACACTGATTAAATCTATGAGGAAGAGATACATGGTTTTCGGAGCAGGAATTCAAATATAAAACCAGGTAAAATCTCATGGAAAAAAGAAAAGCATGAATGGGCTCAGATTTTAAGGGTCGCCCCAAAGGGTTTGTTAAGGTTTTTCTGAGCTCGCAGTCTACTCGTCTGCTGATGCACTCATTGCTGTTAACCCATTTCGTTTTTTTATTCCTTAGCATTTTTTCTTCGCACTTACGTCATCCAGAATTCATCAGCAAAATAACAAAAATTTTAAAAGCAGCATGTGTTTAGAAATCCTGATGAAGTGATGAGAATTCGCATACATTTTTCTATTTTTTTCAGGCTTTCATCAGTTTATCATATGAATGTACAGTTTCTTAATAGGGTGGCTTGAAAATTTTTTTTTGTCTTTTTATTATTAACATTTTGAGTGTTAAATTTATTAATTAAATAGCATGTTCATCGCACTTACGCCACATAAATTTCTTTTGAATAGAAAAATAACAAAATATTAAGAAACAGTATTTCTTTAAATTTTACGATAGACTATCTCGCGTGTTAAAGATAAAAATGGTTTGTTTGTCTTTTTTTTTTTTTTTTTTTTTTTTTTCAGTGTTGCCGCTAATCATTTTCAAATCGTTGAGTTTCTTAAAAATTCATTAAAATTTTACAAAATATGAAATACAAAATTAAAAATTCATAATTTGGGCTTTCAGGTGCACATGTTTGGGTGAAGGCCTATGTTATTCAAAATTTAACAGCCCTAGGTACCATCGTTTTGTCACAATGCGAGAAACATATATCATGAAGATTCTGCATTAATTAATTTCTTTAAAAGTAATAAAAGGCGACAATATTTTGTGGAAACAATTTGAAAAGTGATTCGGACATTTAACGTGATACGCCGCCAAATCCCGTTTCGAGTCTAAATAGCCGCCCATTCAGGTTAACGCCCTTTACTGCTAAATAGAAAAAAAAAAAGTTAAAAATACATTAAGTTACTTTAAAACTGTTTTCATATTAGGCAATAAAAATCAGTTTCGTGTAAATGTTGAAATGTACTCAAATTAAAGTGATGTCTAACAAAAAGTCAAGAATTACTTGAGAACTCTTAAAATACTTTATATGAAGTTCATTAAACTAAGAATGCTGTGCTAAAATGTGTTGCACCAACAGAACAGCATTACAGTTTGAGCAAAGATGTTTATTTTCTGCTTTTAAAAGATACAAATATGTAACGCTTCATGATTTTGCCTGTCATGTTTCCGCAAAGGTCATGCTAATCTTCTCTGTATAATTCCGATTTTAGTATATGTGCTACCAAAGCAAGTAACTCAGTATTGCTAGGTTATAGAATTAAACCTCTTAAACATTAAAAATGTGTTTAAATGTTATCCGTTCATGGGTTATTCAGAATTACAAACAGAATACACTGAAGATTTTTGAGCCTAATGTAAAAGGGTAAAGCATTGTACCAATCATGCCCAATTCAAAATATGGAACGATGCCACAGCTATGGAGATTCTGGCGCAATATATGCCTCGTGCAGAAGGGCCCACCAGCGGCCGAGCGGTAAAGTCGCTGAACACTGGTAGTTCGGTCCGAGGTTCGAATCCCGCGAACGGGCTGGCTGCATGGTTTATTTCGTGGTTTTCCCCATGTGTAACGTCTATGCGAGCCAGTTCCCCTTAGAAAGTCCTCCACGAAGGCATCTCTCCCCTTAGGCAGATAGCCCTAGTGTGCTTTGCCATAATTAAATACACCACGCCACTTCGTCCAGAAGACATTACCAAGCATTCCCTGTAGCGTTTACATTCGTAATGCCACATTCATGGCTCTGCTGAATTCCACATTTATTAATCTATTATCACAAAGAAATGTATAAATTATATAAGGAAAATAAAAATTATAAAATGAATTAAAATTAACCGCATGAAACTTCCTGATCATGTCTTCTGAATGAATGAATTCTTTAATATTTATTATAGTGAACTGCTTTACTTCTGTGAGAGTAATATCAGAACAAGTCGAAGAATTTTATTCTGGCTAAATGCGTAGGATCGCTTTTGTAGTCGCCATGATCCTTGAGAGCCTTATAGCTGACAGTATGACTTTACACTCTTTCGTCCCGATTTTGAAGAAAAGGAGGACGAACCCAAAGGTCAACCAGTATCCGCCTACCACCAAACAACTCAGGAGAACTTTCGGATAGTCATGTATCTCAAATATCCCCATGCCTCAAACACACTACCCACCTATACACATCCATGCCTTCTCCGGGATACAAACTAGGACCAACGCTACAGCAAACAGAAATGCTAAACATTATACCTATCAAAACAAAATTAAGGTCATCGAGAAAACTTTCAGTCTTCAGGTTTTGAATTTATTACATCGATTGTGAATTTAACATTCTTAAAATTATCACTTAGAGCGGAATATAAGAGATTTGTAAGAAATGCCATTGTCCATCTTGGTCTGTCCTACCAACAGAAGAAGAAGAATGTAGGGTCTCCCATTTTCAGCACATGACGCTTCAGGCTTCAATTATTATTTAGGGAACTGAGATTGGCTTTCTCTGCCACCAATAGAATTTCTTTATTACGGATCTGAGAGATGCACACAAAAATACTTACATTAAACGCTGATTTTTGGAAAGGATCTTTCGAGGGATCCCTTAGCAGCGAATTATCTTTCTATATTCAAGAAGTAATCTCTTCCAAAGAGTCGTATTTTGTCCATTCTCGATAGCTCAATCCATGTCTTTTGAAAACGGAGGCAGAGTTCGAACGTCACTTTTCACTGGAAAATCTTTTTTTTTAACCTTTAAATCATGGCCAAACTAAAGTTGAATTTTCCTGATTTTAAGGAACATCTTTAATAGGAAATGGTACTCCATTCTCGAGAATTGAATTCATTTGTAGAGCAGCAAACGAGGTTTTAGTTAGAAACGAATTCAGTTGCTATCTTGTCAAGGTATTATAAAAGTAGCACCTCATAAGCTAGACTTGTAGTTACGAAGAACATTCTTTCTCACCTCGAATTAGTTCAGTTCATCGATTAAAATAATTTTTCAGGTGATGATATCAACTATTTGCTTTTCCAATTTTCTTTTTCGTTAATCTATTCTATTTAATTAATTTATCACTCAAGGAGAAGAGACTTAAACTACTGAACTATTGTCCAAAACCCGATTTCTGCTATTGAAAGAGCTGGCTTCAATAGCTTTGCGTATTTTTCTTCTTGAATATCGAACAGTTGCTTTTATAAAATTAAGGCACTTTTCTAAAATAGATAATATGAAAATACAGTGGTAAAATGTGATATGATAATATGAAAGCACTTAAGGAGTTTTTTTTTAAAGCAAATTAACCTAATTTTATTTGTCCTATTTTGTAAAAGATCTGATGTGGACACTATTGTACCGCCTATTAAATTATATCACATCTTTCACTGCACTTCATTTAAACTTATAACCTCGAATGTCCTTAGATATAAATTTCTCATTCAATCAATTCAATTTTCCCTTCGCAGCGAGGCAAAAATAGATAAAATCTCAAAACATCTTCATCAAAAATTGCAAAGTACAGAGAAATCTAAAACACCAAATACAATTAAAAACAGTTATAAAACATTTTTGCAACTAAAATTAGTGTTTCCAAGCAAAAATAATTTAGATAACAGGCGGGAAGACAAAATTTCCGGTGTACGAAACTTTAAAGTAAATTATTGGCCCCACTTTGCATAAAGACACTCAATTTGGTGCACCAACTGACTTAATTTACTATACTACTAAGAGTTTAAAATGCACAAACAGCTACCATGTTAAGCCTAGTCACCACTTTTAAATTGTTGATAATTACACAACTATTCTATACAGATTAACTACAGGCATACAAACTTTAACCGGAACATAGTAACAAAATAATTCAATCGCTTTTAAAGCAAAAATTTTCCAATTTATAAGAATAAGTACACAGAGCTCACTGATGCGAGTAAGAGGGTAAGTGTATATGTATATATATATATACGTTGCATACGGCCTATTGCAACAAAAAAGGGAAGTGCACAACTAAAAGTTATAAAAGTTCCATATACAGAATTTCAACTTTCTACGACTAATCATTTTCGAGTTATGAGAGATACATACATACGTAGGTACAGACGTCACGAAACAATCCTTTCTTTATCCACTTTAAACCCATTTTACAGTCCCGTTTTGGGAAAAAAAATAATATTTTATTCTCTCCGTTCGTACAGATATCTAGCAAGAAAAATCGTTCAAATGGATTCGAGAGCAGTCGAAATGGATATTTTCTTTGATATATGATATCCAAAATTTTTCGTGATTACAATACTTCCTATACTTCGTAATAGGAAGTATATCAATAATAATAGCCGTATGAAATGATACATAAGAAATTTCTGAAATTCAGAGACATTTCAGACGTCTCATATATTGTTTAATAAAGCTGAAATTTTGTGATAATTTTTTGTATAGTTTCTACAATTTTATAACACTGGATTGATAATCAGTGAAACCAGCTGTTTGTTGTGTGGGAATTCTCTAAATTTTTTTTACTGTGTTTCTGTTGTTCTTTCCTTCTTTTACGAAAAGTCTTTTACAAAGGCGCACCTCCTTTAAGTAAAGAGCCCTCGTGTGATTGCCTTATCCAATTAATAAACAACATCTACTAATCTAGAACCTGATATGTGAATTAAGTGTCAGCATCTATATTTTAACTCATCCTCTTCTGAATTGAAACTTGTCGCACATACTATGAAATAAAACATATCACGCGAAGGGGGAATTGGAAACCATAAAACAGAAGAAAGAGGACTTTTCTATTTTTGTTTTCCCCTCTGAGGAACGAAATTTTTTTTTAAAAATCGGTTTATTAATTAAGCACGCTAGGTGTAACCCCGTAAGGAGGGATGTATTCGTGGAACACTTTCTAGTAGAGATTGACTCAAATTCGTGTTACAAAAAGGAAAACTGCTAAATCTTTATTCACATGATCTGTCCTCTGGGATTATTTATTCATGAAAGTATAAGCTTATAAGATGAGGCCTTTTTCTAAGAAGGGATGAAAAATATTATGTTAATAATCTCGGAAAGATTTAAGTTTTTCTTATCCGAACATAATCCCTAATTGTTTATTGCGCTCATTGAAATTTGTTCTCGAGGGGCCTCGGGTCTCCAAGTATATTGCTACGATACGATCTCCTAGTTAAGATCTCTCTGGGTAGGTCTAATATGATGAACAGTTAGTAAATTCGTATACCTCTGGGCATGCTTAGATGTAGAGAAGGCTTCACTCCCCGAAGACGGGTAAAGGCCGGCAAAGCTCGGGACGGATTTTGAGTGGCTAGGATGGACTGTTCTTTGTCGAACTTCATTCTCCAGCCATTCCAACACACGAAGTCGAACCGGAAGGATTATTCATGTAGTTGCGTACTAAGACTTAAAAGTTCTTAAAATATTCCTTAACTTAATATCGATAGTCACTTTAATCTATCATGAAATCACTCCTGGCACTGTGTTAAAAGTATTCAAAAAAGGGAAAATCTCTCCGAAAATTTAAAAGAAAATTTTTCATTTTCCAGTCTTGTGAAAATTAACATTAGAGTGGAATTATAGTTACTTCAGAAGAGTTGTAAGAAGTTTCCTTCTTCCTCACGGCGTGACTCTGTGATGTAACTGGAAGCATGTCCTACTAGCAGTTTCGGAAATTTCTGAATTCGAATCTGAAAAGGCATCCTTGATTTTTTTTTATGTTTCTTGCTCCGAAATATACCTAATGATTGCATAAGTGGCGTTCGAACTCAAATGGGATGGATGATAATTCGTCACAGCCTGGAATTGGCGAATGTGTCCCTTTCTCCTTTAATCGCCTTTTAAAGAGAGAAGAATGTAAGGAATTTTCTCCTTTCTTACAATTTGTCTTGGTAGTATAACTGGAAGCACGCCCGCCTAACAGTCAAAAGGTCGGAATTTGAATTTCAGAGTGGGCATTGTTACATTTTTCATACTTCCCGGTTAGGTTAGGCTATTTCAATCTAGCAAAGCATACATCTGCTTAAAGGGAGGTATACCTTCGTGGAGGATGTATAATATAAACTCACTCGTATTCATGTCATACATACAGAAAAACCACCAAAACCAACCAGGCATCCAGCCCATTCACATAATTTCGAACCTCGATCGGACTACCAGTATTCAGCACTCTTAACCACTGGTCATGATTCTTTTTTTTTTTTTTTTTTTTTTTTTTTTAAGTAAACCTAAGGACTGAGTTACCAATGCCAAACTGAATTATCTTATTAGT